TACTTACAAATCGAAGCTAAAATGTCGTGACCCCGGGGCACGGTTGAGAAACTTGAGATATATTGCACAGTCTTTGATCAGTTGTAGTGCAGTCGTGGTCCCGGGGGTCTTGCTTATCTTGCTTTATGATTTCTGCTTGAAAATCAACTGTGTGTCAGTAGTCACCATGGAAAGAGGCTACATCGAATTATATGTGGCCTTTCCCTGTTTTCACAATTGTTATTCAGGGAAGGTTGAATGGATTCCATATCTATTTACGTGGAGCAGCTGTGGCATGTCCGTTAAAATTCAAAATGGTAAAATAATTTGTCGGTTATTGACAATGTGCTTATAGACAATATAGTTTAAACACAAAGCAGCAAAATAATCTTAAGGAAGTATTAACACCATTCAAAACAAGAGCCCCATATTCCACAGCAGCGTATTAACAGATATACATTGTATATTCCACGGAAGCGCATTTAAGCCAGTCAAAATATCAGTCAGTCAGGCCTTGATACTAGGGAATCTTAACATTCTTACCAGTTTTACTTTCTCTTAGACTAACACTTCCATGGTTATTTTTTTTGCCCAATACCTACAATATACATAATTACCATTATTCTTATCATATTATATTTAATAAGAAATTAAAAGCAACAGTGTTATTTGAGGAGTGGCGGCACCACAATTTGTATCACAGATTAGGTAATAAATAAACATTATTTTTTGAATGTACGTCAGTCGCAATCTACACTCTGTTTTATTTGCATGACGCATAACTCACGAATGAAACACGAGGCCTACAGTAATAACGAGTATGGGCAATCTGATGTTTTGATGTAAGTTTGATTTGGCATCAAGTTTATCATCTTCACAAAGTCAAGCTATAACGAACTTCGTCTTATACCTTGACTCCATTAGCAGCCTTTCTTGTGTCACGGAATGCAACGATTTGATTTGATTGTACGCTAATGAATACAACCAATCACAGCCCTCGATATAACTACTGTAAACATTATGGCTAAGAGTTTGCAGACTTTTTGTCGAAGCCTCTGATTGGCTGTATTTTCTAGCATACAATCCAATCAAATCACTTCATTTACAAGCATCGGTGACACAAAGAAGATTCTATTGGAGTCGAGTTATAAGCCGAAATTCGTAGAAGCTTCACATTGTGAAGATACAAGTTTATAGGAATCTAAACAAAATAATGGATTTTGGAAAATTTGGATAACAAACCTCATTGTCTTCCTGTCTTAAAAATTGATAGGTCACCCCTTCTAGTTTATACCATTGACTTGAAAGGTATTATAGTCTTCTGTTTGAAAGGCAGTTGCTATTGTTGAAACTTCAGCATTTGTAGGTTTCATAGCCTATACCAAAAATCACGGAACTATTGTACAAAACGTTTTAACAATTTACATTGTCATAATCTGGTACGAAAGACAAACAATGTGAATATTCTATAACGAACCGACTAAAAGTTTATACATTCACACAGCAGATTTAACGGTATATATTGCGTTCAGAAGCAATTGTTACAGTCCCGACGAACAAATGATGGACGGACAGGTTCGACGAAAATGTTTCATCCCTATTGATAAAGCTGGCTGATGGTACAAATTTGCTTTGTCGATGACTCCGTCGTGAAATAACGTTAATAATTGGCCGCCATAAAACACTGCGATACGAGTTCTAGCGGAGCTTCCATGTGGACGGTTTAAATATATTGAAGCCATAAATATAGGCCAATGATAATTTAAGACAGAAATGGCCCCGGATACACTTAAAAAAATCTAGAAAGCTTCTTAAAAACCGTTTAAAAATAAAAAAAATACCAATTTTTGCGTGATTATCAGTAGTATATCTTGAACCATCTTTTCCAACAATACAAGCCTTATCAACTTGGGGTACACCATCTTTTGAACTATATCCTATTAGCAAGTCTATGTAAGCATCCCAACTGGAATGGAACAAGCGGAGTTTCTGTAAGGACTACTTGGCTAATAGGTGCTTTAGGTTCAAACCCCTAACTAAGAATTATTCATCACCAAGGCGAATACTTTGCAAATCTGTCTAAATAGCACAAATCTGACTCTAGACTCTATCCAAAAAAAAGTCTAGGAAAGATAAACTCTTAAAATAAAACAAACAGCAACGCAGAATGAGAGAGGGGAAAAACTCAAGGAGGGGTCGTTCTACACATTAAAAATAGAATGCACTCTGAAGAACTTATAGCTCTTGGAATAAGATATACATAGTAAACGATCATTTTTGGATGATATAGTTATTAAAGATATTAAATAAAAACTAAATGTGTTCACTTTAAAATGGACTTATCTTGCATAACAAACTCCTGCGAACAAAAAAACGAAGACGATCAATTTTACCATTGTAATGTTATGAGTGATCAGTGAAAACGTTGTTGTTAGAGAAACCACTATTTATATCCACAGTCAAGAATTGTTTTTATCAATTTTCATATTAATTCAATGGACCGAATCGGCTGATTAATAACATTTATTGAATTTAGATATTAACTTATAACCGAAAAATTGTTTTACTAATTTGAATTTTATGCAGAAATGTCACAGCTGCTTGTTAGGCCACATAAAAAACAATTGGTGATCAAAAACGGCCCCGTTCCTGATTTATTTTGGGTTTTTTTTAAGCCGTAAATAATCCGCTCAATAGCGTAGATATAGCAAAAATTCAACTTTTCGCGGACATTTAACGCGAAATAACTGTAATATGATAAGAAATACCATCAGTAGATCCATCTAGCTACCATAGAAAGAACACCCACCCGCGCATGCGCGGCCATCACAAGGGTCACTATCATCAGCCTGAGAACTGCTCGCGGAAAAAGGCTGTATCAAGACGTGGGGTGAAAGAGACAAAACTATGAGCTGTTATTGGTTGTATAGGCACACAATATAGCAGGTTGTGCCTTTTCAAATGGAACAGCTCTCAGAAATTTGAATGTTGACAAACAATACATGATATCGTGTGTATGTTAAGAGGTCTAAAACATGAAAAGCTTCAATATAAAAGAAGAACTCTTCTCAAATGCAAATATTTGCTTGACACTTTTTCTAGAACTGTCTGTTTTCAAATTTTGAGCGTACGATCCAGGCAAAAACAGGTTTTATATTTATTTTCGGAGCCTCCTTTTTTAATAATATGCACCTAGGGAGGAAAATGATTGGAGAAGTAGTCACTGAATTTCAAGCAATTTTATAAATTTACAAAGATAGCGTGCCGGGCAAGGTAATATACGCCCACTGGCAGCTTTGATTTTGAATAAAAATATTTAGCAGTACAGTAACAATCACCAGTATGAAATATTCAACCTTCAGTCATACACTTCTTTTGAACTATTTAGGGAGATACTGAATAATATATGAGTTATTGCCCTTGTTCTTGAAAACGTGTTCAATTTTTAGCTCGTGAAAACTCTAAAAGGCAAATATTCCATCTTCAGCACAGGACTGAATAATAAAACTAAGTTTTGTCAAAATCCAGCAAGAATCATGCCTTTTAGTGTTTAAGAGCTAAATTTGAAAGCTTTTTCAAGAACAAGGGCAATAACTCATACTAAATATTTTTCAAGTCTTCTGATTTTTAATGTGGTTCATCCTTGGTTGATTACGAACATTCACACCAAGTTTCATCAAAATCCGTCAAGAATTGTGCCTTTTAGAGTGTTTACGAGCTAAAAATTGAACGCGTTTTCAAGAACAAGGGCAATAACTCACACTAAATATTTTTCGATTCTTCTGATTTTCAATATGGTTCATCCTTGGGTGATTAAGAACACTCATACCAAGTTTTGTCAAAATCCGTCATTTCATGGGCGTATAAAACAGCATATATGCAGACTAAATATATTTTCTTCAATTTATTGTTTGCATGCTTCTGGTGAGGAATAAAGCAGTATCACCATTATAATTTTTTTTCATGTGACCGCATAAAATCATTGGACCACGTAAATAGATATGAAATCCATTCTTCAATCAACAACAGTCCATTTGAATTTCGTTATGCCTCGAGAAATAGATAATTTTACAATGCGAATTTCCCTGGCACAGATGTGACCTTTCCATATAAGAACTCCTTAAAAAATGCATTTAAAAAAAAAAAAGTTTTTCAGATGTTAACTTTGTCATTAGAGGTTTGTTCTACTGGTATAGTCGCAGGTGTAATTCAGCCTGCTATCTACTGCACTTATGGTCTTTCGAAGACTTCACTGTAGTTGTTCTAGATATACACCACGCATGCGTGTATCCTATACCAATTTGATTGGTTCTTTTGTTTCCTTGGGTATAGTACAACCCAGTTTTTGGCCTATTATTTTTGTGCTATATGGCCTGGGCCTGCAAGCACCCCTAACTGTACTAGCTGGAGAGAATAATGTTCTTTGAAAGGCGTGACTGAATCGTTACCTAAGATTCTGTAATGACTATAGTTTTGCCATTGGTACTATCTGTAATATGGGGGCCTTTCAAATTCAATTTGTTTTCTGAGTTTACCCTCTTATTCTTGCATATTTATTCATATGACATCATGCATACTACAACAAACTTATTGACTGTTTCTTTGTTTAGCATTACCTGACCTTTTCACTGCTACTGGCTTTGACCTTCCTACCAGCATTCTAAAATCTATGATTCATTATGTTACTGGCAGAAACAACGAACAGGATTGGTTGATGTTATTCGACGGCTATTTCATAGAGTAACATAACAAAGTTGATTTATATATTTTCAACAGCATTCATTTTGATTGGTTAACATAAATACAAACAACTTTTGAATCCATAGAACACAAAGAAAAATATTGTCAGATCATTGACGGCGTATATAGTAGCCTGCTGAAAAGACACGAACGGAAACGTCCAGACCTGTATTTTAATCAGATTGTATTGTATCACCTCTCATACATTTATTTGTGGTACAGTTTGAACAACTCTACAAAACTTGGATTTACCTAACGCATATGCGAACCGATTTCTAATAATGTTGTATTTTATAGGTACTGGTAGTAGCTTGACAACTTCTTCACCTTCTACTGGAGGAGTATCTATCACGGGTATGTTCTTTCATATAAATCAAATTAGTTCGATTGTCAGATGCTCATTGATATTATTTTACGGCCATACAATTACGACCTGCGTCTTGTACCTTGACTTCAATAGCCATATTTCTTATATCACAAAATGCCGTGATTTGGCTGGATTATACAACATGTACTCCAAAGGATTCAGGGAATCAGAAAGTCTGTAAACAATAAGCTATAAGGTTTGAGGTGGCTTTTTCAGTCAGGGTATTAAACGAAAAATATTTAATGATTGGACAAATGGAACCTAAATTTTAGTGTCCTTTTAAAAAAAATAATGCGGAATATTTAGAACCGGAGAATATTAACATGGACATGGTCACAGTGACGTTTCTAGGATATATTAGTTGAGGGGGCCGAAAAAAGGCCACAAAATGTTTCACAAGGTAAATTGATAAATATTTAAAAGAGGAAGGGGGGATCATGATGGCGATTTCTCCTCTGTTTCCTCTTTTAGTTTCTATATTGATGTATTTCTACATTACAGAATGTGCTAACATGAATAAAAAATGTATGGGTAAACTAATCAATCTACAGCGAACTCAAAACCCTCAAGATATGTGCAGGTACGTATTAAAGTATTTGATTGAATTATATAGGATGTGTTTAATGAGTTACTCACTGACCATTTATAAGTCCATGGTTAGCTATTTTCGGGAAGTCAATCGCACCTTTGCCTGTATCATCCAGTCCGTTATCTACGTACATCTTCGACGAAAGTGGGCTTGGACAGGTTGCTTAATATCTTTGTAATTGATCGAGGTTACAGTGAATATTGAATCTGGTTGGTTGTAAATACACATCCGTTTTGGTGATGGTAAAAAATGATTGAAAAAATTCAGTTATTATGATTATGTCTTCGAATTTTAATTCTTTGCTCTAAAAATTGATAAATATAACATCCGCGGATAAAATTATCAAATATGAACTGATAAAACTGCTAATTAATTCGGTTGTAAACAAGACGTTTGGAACTTGAAGGTCGAATATGCTTAATTGCAATTATCTCCTTTGTTGGAACTTGAAAGCGTCGTAACAGAAATTTCAATGAACACTCCCAAACTAATATCCTCGTCATAGACAGGTATAGTTTGGACGACTAATCGTACCTCGGTCTCAGAAACAGTAATTGTTCATCTAATTTAATCGGTTATAGTAGACTTATATTCACGAATTACCTTCGAATTAACTCACTCGGGACTAACGTGCTGCTAGCTTCCCTTTCCCTCGTATATTAAACGGAGATCGTCATATTAATAGTTTTGGTTGATTCCGTTCAAATGACACAACGTCTAGTTTTAATAAATGAAATGTGTCAGTGCTACTATAACAAAGGTCCATCCAGTTTATGATTCTTTGTTTATTTAATGGTTACTGTATAATTTATATTTTAAATCTACCATAAAAAAACAACTAATTATTATTCATGAAATTTTTTTAATGAAAATTATTTCGTCTTGCGAATTTTCTAATTACACATTGATTTGAACGCGTGCTAATCACTACTCTTTTATAGCCAATACAAACAAATCTTCAGACAGAGTTGTCTGCTCTTGCCTATTTACCGGACAAGATATCAGTATTTCATGGCCGAGTCAACGGGAGGTTGATCCGAATGCGCACAGCTGCGACTACACATGTTTGGGTGTCAAAGAACGTGATCAACAAGACGTCCCGAATCAACCCCTGAAAATGAAAAGTCTTGGAAAAAATAATTTAAAGCGTCTCTTATGTTGTAAAAAGCAAATATAACACATTTGTACCATCAACTTTTTTTTATTCAAAAATGAATCGTATCAATTGGTGCAAAATTAGATATTATAGGTTTTGGATTGTTTTTTTTTTAGGATACTGAATTCCACTCTGGATTGTTTCAACGTAGTGGTAGCAAAATGTGGTGGTACTTTACCCAATACAGAAGAGATAGAGAGAATGATGGTTAGGGCTAGAAAACAGGTTGCTTTAGCTTGTAAGTTATCACCTCTTGAGTGTGTTTTTGTAATTCATTCGATGTGATGGTTCTGTAAATTTTGGCTACCTCCAATAGCCACATATCCATATATATATTGAACATGGTAAGAGCTTTGTCTAAACGTGTTTGGGATATACGATACACACTGATTTTGAAAATTGAAGTCGAATAAAACTACAGCAACTACAATGCATAATTAAACATTATTTTATTATTATTTTAGGGATGTCGATTTTCCCTCTTTCCGATTTATATGTACCCCAAATATAATACACAATATATGTTTTAGGTAATGCTGGAGAAAATGTGCCAACAGACACAACTGAAGGTAATATATATACAGACCCCAGATTTCTGCTTCCCTTCTAAGATCGAGCTGGAATAATTGAGATAATTAACACTAACAGAACTCACAAAAGATTAAAGCTGTCATAAAATTTTCTGAAATGTATTTAGCTTAAAATTTGATGAATAAATGGAATTAGTGAATTATATCTCACAAAGAAACAACAAGCTAACGAGAGCTGTGTGTTATTCAAGATAATTGAAATTCATAGTCTCCATAGCAATCGAACAAGTTTTCCACCACGGCCCGTTATAACGTTAATTTTTAACCAATCAAAGCATGTCATTTACGGCCCGTTTCCCGATAACAAGGGCGAATTATGGGATAGTGAAACCAGTAGAAGCTGTCATATTGTTCGTCATTGTTTTCAAGAAATGAGTCCTAAAGGGCACATTTTGATTCGTCATTTGAATGAGTGAATTTCATAGAAACAATCAAACGAATTTTCTGGAGCTGTATGTTATTCAACTTGCTTGCCTGTCAATTACAAAAGATAAAGGCGTGCAATTACCCAAATAAAGCACCAGGTTAAGATCTGAATTATGATGTTTTATTTTTTCTGCGATCAGGTTGTCAAGAAAAGGTTGGTAAATGTATGAATATGATGCAGGATTTCTCAGTTGGACCGAACAAGGAAGATTCGTGCAGGTAAGCTTGAATCTTGTAAAAGAAATTCCCTCATTGTACTTTATATGGCGTTGTGTGTCTTGTGGGAGGGGATGGTAAAAGCCGTGTCAGCCTGTTTTCGTTTCGTTTTCTTATGAATCGAGATTTTCTTGTTAATATATAATTACTGTTGTTTCAGAGAATTCCAGAATATTAAATCCTGTTTTGAGAGCGTAACTGATAGTTGCGATTCTGATCAAATCCAAGTTGGAAGATATATGACTGGCTTAGAAAAACAAATCGCTCAAATTTGTAAGTGAACGTTATCTTCCACATGTGTGCGGGATATTACTTATAGAATTTGTAAAGGAATCCAACGACTAACTCGGTCGGTAACTATAGTTACATTGCCCCCTGTATCATGTCAGTAATGACACTTTGACATTGGCACGATTTTCTTGTCCCTGGCGCATTAGTCTTGGCAAGACATGCAATTTCTGTTCTCTACAGTGGAGCGCAGCGTTTGCGGCCTGTTTGCGCATTGAATACGCTAAAAGAACGTGCTTTGTACGCAATGCACGACCAAAAATCGGCGACATTGTCACGCAATGGCACTACTTGTTACGTGAAATATTGTTTTTGTATTGTACACGGTTGACAAGCATGAGTGAGTCACTTGAGTGACATGCCCATGCTACGACATTTATTCGTGCCAAATTTTATATATATTAGAATTATCTCTACGATATGGCAGTCACTCCCTTACACTACTCATGGTAGTTCACGAAGAAGACTTTAAGAATTACATTGAAATCGCACAAATGTCTTGATGACATAGACACAGTGAAATAACACTTAAATTTTAATGATTCGAATCTTGTCTCACTGTTCAGGTGGAGGTATTGATTTTGAAACAGAAACAGCTGTGAAAACTAAACCAGTCCAAGGTGGTACAGATCGTAAGTAACCAATATTATTTTAATGATATTTTATTGCCTTCAACATCACTCTCACTTGACTTCCTGCAACGTCTAGGTGTAAAATAGTAAGGGAGGTAACTTAGACTGTAATTGTGTTAAATTGTTTATCCGATGCTATCATGAAATTATTTATACGTAGTAATTATATTTGTCAATTATATCGTGATGTCGACCATAGAACATTTTAATTGAGACTTTCTGGCGGTTTATATGTGACATCGTCTTAACTTCATATTTTTTGGTTAATTAACATCGCCTTAGGTTCATATTGTAGCTTTTTATTTTACACCTGTGATACTGTAATGGTCATAGCTCTTTTATTATCTGGCAAAAATTTGTACTAAGTATTTTTTTTAGATATCAGTTGATGTGTTTTTCTGAATAAAACTAATTTTATTTTTCTTTGTACAAGAATTGAAATGTTTTGAAGAGCTGCAACGATGTTCAACAGAGTCCAATATTCTATCTGAATCAGATTGTGAGTAAGTATACCCTTCTTGATAAATTGGATACAGGGCAGCGCCAGGCACTTTCAAACATATTCTATATGATAACCGTTCTCATCTGTATCATAACAAGTAAAAAAGCAGTTAATTTTAACTCATTGATCAGTACCGGTAGTATGTGTCTTATCGCAATATGTACAGTGGCGTAGTGACCGAATTTCTAACCTAGTTGTGAGAGTCATGCCCGTAAAACTTGCATTCGGGGCTGCAAGGGGGCGGGGTCTATATGGCGGCCGGCCCCTCTGTATCCCCCCTCCCTTGGCTCCGCCACTGTGTTGTACATTTGACGTACAATATATATGATAAAAAGTAGGTCCTAAAAATTATTGCGGGATAAATCCTGGTCATAAACTGTTAATGAACAAGAGTTCCCCTCCTTCAGAGAGTAGATGTGTTGAGAGGTTAACTGTTCAGTGTTTAAAATTTAATTTACAAGATAACTAAAAAGCAATTACTTATACTACAGATATTGGGAAATACCCTAATAAACACTGTACCTTATCTTTCAAGCGTTGTCATTTTTATTCATTATTGTAATTTATCTTTTTAGAGGTATAATGTCAACTATTGAATGTCTAGGAAATGTCACCAGCGCGTGTCCTGGGGTCTTTAATGTTTCGACTTTTTACCGTATAGAACAAATAGAAAATATGGCTGCCAATTGTTCCAGTACCACTGGTATGTAATTTGTTAAAGTAGTATTTATGTTGTTCTAAACTGATTCTTCTACTAGCTACAATAAATTCATTTTTAGTGTTTCCGGAATGGGGTTACCCCAAAGATAAGAGGGCCCCCACTTTGAAACAATGGCCCCCTAATTCTCCAAGAAACGTAACTGGTCAGATCATCCCCAATTGCTCCATTTTATCATCGTCTACATGGCATATGGCGACTTCCTTGAATTGTTGTCAGCTGATAATAATTTGGTTTATTGAAGTATTAGTGAACTTTATTCTAAAAACAAAGTTATTACCCGATGTGATCATAAGCAATTCTTTATTTATACTGCTTATTATACTTATATCAAAAGTTTTCAAAACAAAGACCGGTTAAATTTCAACAACTTCAAACACCAATGTGTATGTTCCCAAGTGTATATATTTAAATGTCGGTTGTATATTTAAAAGCTGTATTGTTTTTTAGACGAGACAGAGAAAGAAGAAGAGGTTGACAGTGAGTACTTCCTACCATATTTATAATTGATTATTTAGAAAATTGTTATTTCCATTTAATAAGCCCTAGATATTTATAAATTATAAAAGCATGGAAATCTTCCCTGGTTTTAGAAAGTTGCTGTAGTACTTACGATTACTCTTAAAGTTATTGTATATAATAGGATATTGATATATAGGAGCACCGTTTAACACCACAGTTGTTGGTCAATACTTTTATAATTTCAAAACATTCATTTACTTAAGAGTTACATGTTAAATAGCTTATGACCTCGTTGTAAGAACTGTAATAATAAGAAACAAATTGTCTTTTAGGTGCCTGGTGTGCTTCTAAAGCTCAGTCTTGTTTGAATATGATCAGTTCCTTTTCTGTTAAAAATGGAATGGAAGCTACTTGTGGGTAAGTGATTGTTTCCAACCAACTATTGAAATCTTCGGTTATTTTTCATCTTCATTCAACTATATGACTTCAACTTCTCGAAATGATTACTTGTAAACAGATTATAAATCTTATCATCAATGGTGTACATCACAAACAAACTTTCGCCCAGAACAGGGAACGAATCATTAGCTCAACTACCATAGGGACTTGTTGAAACGTAAGGGGGCCCCCAACCCTAGAAGAAAATATTATCAGGCATTAAATTGACTTAAAGAGCGGTGTCGGAATGCAGCAGAGCATGATTTATGTTCAATCAATTCTATAAAGTACAGCTTAAGGTAAGTCGTTTACTCTTTATCCGTAAATAAATAATAAAGTACCTAAATAAAAAATAACTATTAAGATTTATCAAATTTCATGCTGTCTATTTTCAGTTCTCTTCATAATATGGTGAAATGTTTTGACGAGGTTATCGACAAATGCGAGTCATCAATCGTAGATTTAGAGAAAAATTCTGGACAACTTTTCGCCATGAAGGAAAAAATCACATCAGCATGTAGGTCCTTTATTCTCATTTCTGACCGTGTCGACGACGCAATGAAATTAAGACAGCTGGCGACAACAGCAATATTTCAGTCCATTATCATTTGTTCTTGATTCCACTAGTTGTTAGTCAATGAAATTCCACTTGCCCGCAGACACTGAAATTGCAAGGCCGACCCAAAGCTATTGATCTTTCGCTGATATTCTAGGCACTGAGACAAATCATATAAATGAAAGGGAACACCTTCAGAACTAGCATAATCAAGTAATAATCAAATATAAATTAACTGATATTAACACTGAAAAAGATATACTGAAGTGTATCTTTATGTTATAGGTAGAAAAGGTGGAACCGGATTGGGTAAGTTAGTCACCATTATTTGAGCTTTGATTGAACGGAAAACGGGTTTCCATCTGATTTCGATTTTTTTTATAAACTATTAGTTGGTTTCCCTAGTTGAGACATGCTAAACTACTTGGTTGGTTGGTTGGTTGGTTGGTTGGTGGTTGGTAGATGACAAGTTTTACTTGAGCGGATGCTGATATCGCAAAGTATGATATGCTACTGAGCACCACTGACTTATGACTATGCCTATAATGATAAGAGTATTATCTTTATAGTTATAACACCCAACAGTAACCAAGAAAAATGTATGAATAAATATAAAAGATGCGCTGGGATGATGGCTAAAGTTCCTCTACATGAAGATAATAAAGTCATGTGTCCGTAAGTAAACTAACATTAAAATTGAAAGCAGAATTTATTTGCCTCTAGAGTGTAATCTGTGTAATCAGACATTTAACGGACTGACAAGAGAAGTTGTTCAGATTGTATATTGCTGAGGTAAAAGATTTTCACAGAAATTACTGTATTTTAAATTGCATGTATAAATGAGATGAAATGAAGGGAGTTTTACGTCCTACTTTTCTATTGTATGTAAAAGATGACTATTCTATGATGCTCATATTAAGTTTTTATATAACACATGCAAGATGATTTATCCCGTCTGAGGATGCTGTGAACTGAAATTGTTAAGTAAGATGTAACAACTGTTTGGTTTCTCGACAAAAATTACATTTGAATAATCATTATTTCAGCTTATTAAGACGATCCATGGCGTGTATTAAAAAAGTGAGTTTAGAATGTGGAAGTTTATTACCGGCGTCTGCTAAACAACAATTTTCTAATTTTGAAAATCTGAATAAAATATGTAAGTCCTGTGGTTATTGTACTCTGCTGTTATGACTTTATCAATAGGTTAGAATGTCGAATGATTGTAGATAGCTGATTTTGCCACATTCCTATAATAACCTAGATGTTCTCTTTCGGATATGTGAATTTTCCTTGTTAGTCAATCTGTGAAAGCTGTAATTTCTATGTCAAATTTAAGATTTGTCAGGTTATTTTATTCTCATTTCCATAGTCTTGCAATATTTCCATATATCGAGCGTTTAAAAAGTTGTTTCGCATATGATAGCGAAGAATGAAAAACTTACTACCGCTATTATTCTTCGCAACCATACGCAACTGGTGATCTATACCGATGCATGTTGAGTTCGGTTTAACAATTCTAATGTATTTTATTACAGGTCCTGTGGGCTCGTATAAAAGCGGTGGCAGTAGAGGTAAATTCACTGAGAAGTGTAGCAATGATATTAAGGTCTGTGATGGTAAAGCTAATAGTATTATGAGTGGTGATAATATCGCTAAAACAGATTGCAGGTGCGTTGCTTTTTAATACGTTTTGAGAATTTTAGCCCATGATGAATCAAGGGTCGTGGAATAGTCATTCATGTTATTGAGGGAATGTTGAAACTGTCTGGACACTTAGACTATCGGCACTTTGGTTGTTGTTTTCTTTGGATAAAAATGGCTAAAAATGAGCCGTTGTAAGATGTAAAACAAATACATTAACTATGATATCTGTTCAAAGTTTTACTCTATTGCATCACAGGTACTTGAGTTTACATTAGTATATATTACATATATTAGAAATTAGATAGTTTAAACTCGCTTCATAGGCTTTCCGTAGTAAGATCATCAAAATGAAAATTCGGGTACCTACGGTATATATGTATTAGTATGCGATTGTATTTGGATTTCAAAATGTCTTCGGGAGCCGTGGTGGCTCAGTGATTAGACGGTTGCTCGCTAGTCTGAAAGTCCATGGTTCAATCCCGGCATAGGTCGAGATAATACCTACGGATTTTTCAGCCCGGTTTCCCCCTCTCAGTGATGCAGGTAAGAGGGGCTGACATGGAAAAAGCGTCTAGTCGTTCGGATGGGACAATGAACCGAGACCCCGTGTGCTACAGGCTGTGATCCCTCGACAGTTGGAAATCGAAAAAGAGAAGGGTTATGCCGCCGTCCCACATCGCACCCTATATGGCGTTGCCCGTCTTCATTAGCCCACATGGTGCAGAAAAGTAGGACGTAAAACTCCATTCATTTCATTTCAAAATGTCTTTATGATTTAAACTTTTGTTACAATGTTATGTATAATATCTTACAGGGATGGCTTTAGAACTCTTACGTGCTATAGACAGGTAGCGAGAGAATGTCGACTACCTAAATCTAATAGAAAATTCTTTAAACATTTTAAAACAACACTCACTGATACCTGTAAGTCTATTTCTATTTTATAACAGTGTGTTATCGAGGCCAATCTATTTTGTTTTATAATTATTTGTTGTCAGTCTCCATTGTAGAACAAAAAAAAATATAACGAGGAAATTTAATTTAAATATGATTACACATATATCGTATCTATATTTTCTGATATTTTTCATTTCAAGTGCGAATTGTTGGAAAATGAAATCCAAACTGAAGCAATATGACTCTTTTGGTCCAGCTATCACACAATTAGTCTTTGATTGGTTATAAAAATGTCCAAAGAACGGGACTTTGGTAGAAATCTTGTAAGATTACAATGCTGACGACAAATATCAAATTGGAACTGTTGTAAAATATTTGTGTTTCGCATAAGACAAATATTACCCACTTAAAACATACATCCCACCCACCCATTTCAGCTTTTTAACCACAGTCCCAACACGAAGTGTCGTCTCCGTGTTACCAATGGACAAACCATGATCGCCCTGAAAACTTTAACATCACTGGTTTTAGATAAAGAAAAGTAATTCTGATCCATTAGCCAAACCATGTTCATTCTGAAAATGTGCCGATCAGTGACTGGGTTTCAGTACTATACCACCAGCCCCAACACCTATTTATAAATCTTAACCACAATGTGACTGCAAAGTTTTTTAATCTATCTACACACTGAAGACTTGCCGATCAGAGGCTTACAGGAGGATGAATAATTCTGATATTTTGGTTGGTATTTTATAGGTGAAAGACGATCAACAGTCAAACATACCCGAGGTCTGATAGACTTCGATATCGACTGGCCATGGGAAGATCAAGATTGGAATGGAGAATTTGAAGGAGACGATAGTAGTGAAGATGCTGTTTTATTTGGCGATGAGGATTTCGAAATGGAAAAGGATTTCATGTTTGATTAAAAACAACTTCAGACAACCATCTTTCCAAATCAACTATAACTTTGTACAATTGTATTAAAATATATAATTAACTTAAAATCTGCTGTTTTCTATTCTTGCTCAGAGTTGGAGAAATGAAAGGAATTGTCATGGTCGACGTGCACAACGTGGCAACCAACTTCTTTAACCTTGTACCATATACGAGGACTGGCTGAAAGTTGCTAAAGTTTAACTTTGAAAGAGCCTTATCAAGTGGATTTCCTTACATTGCAAGTGCCTTTCAAACGTTTCCTTAAAGTCTTGGTTCAAGTCAAATAGAATTTTCTGAAGCCACTCTAAGGTCTTTCACAGTGGAAGTGACATCATCATCATTACTAGCAAAATGGCGACCAGCTACATAGTTCCTTTTTAAGAAGTCGGGACATAAAATTATGGCGAGCTGTTTCCAAACGGTATAAATTGCCACGAGACGTCAGGCAGGGCCGTAACTCCATGAAGGTTTCATTCCGAATCTGACAAAAGAGAAATTTTGTTTTAAAAATTAAAATGTTAAAATGATATCTGATTATTTGATGTCTACAGTAAAGTTGGTCAATAGGACAGCCGGACAATTCCAGAAAGTAAAATAATTGATGTTTTGTGACAAGCAAGCAGCCAATTTTTATAGGAGTTGCTTTGACCAAATTTTTGGTCGTTAATTGTTTAGATTTTTCATCATGAAAAAAGCCAAAACAATTATTGAGTCCATCACGACGTTACCGAGTATTCTTAATATTACTGTGCTCCACACGGTACCACAAAACAGCCGAGGGGTAGGATTTTCTCTTCTTCCGTAAATCAAGTCTTCCCCCCGACTGTATTTTTCTCCAGAAAGCCTATACAGCAGTATGTATGCTTAGACTTTTAATTTTAAGTTTATGATTCAATCTGGGAAACTGAGACAGGGACCGAAAATCAGTTTCAGATTCTAAAATATCTAAAAAAATCGTTAAAATTGATTTAATTTGTGAGGGAGGAAACGTTATAAATAGAATAATTTGTCTTTATTATGACGTTATAATTAAAGTACATAATACAATAGTATGACGTCACAAGCGACATATTTTTCATTGCTGAAAAGACGTGCTTACAAGTTTCTCTGCGATTTTTTGAGGATTTTTCTGAATTTTAAGGTGAGATTTATATTTTATATGAAAACACTGCTGTTATTAGCTGCACTATAATATACAGGCTACTTTAATACGAAGTGTCATTTAAGTTATTTGAAATCGAAATCGGCTCATTCGATTTTGGGCGAATTTTCCCGATTTATATTCATATTATATATTCTTTAATTTTTTTCAATTTCATTTGGAATTTTTCAGCCATGTCATTTTAGTTAGGTTCACCGTTTGGCAAGTTAGTAAATAGATATAATGTCATTGATCAAACTAACTTTGAATATATATTTTAGGCATTTGAACAGTGATGCTCTTTGACTTAATCAACAAAAAGAAACCGATCGCAACCACAGTAAATTTATCTTATACTCAGTGATATCATTTTAGAAAGTAAAATCTAAAGCTTTCTTTTTTCCATTTTCCAGGATGTCCAAGAAATACATGCCCCGTCCGCCATATTGTTTTGGCGAGATTCCTGATTATTCCACTCCGCCCATGACAGTGGAGGAATACCAGTATTATGAACGAGAGTTCTTTGGTTTTCTTGAAGAAAAAACAATCCTCAAACCAGTAGAAGAAGGTGCTGGTTTATTTCAAAGATTCCTGCAGTTTACAGGAATTTCAAAGATCACTAAATCTGAAGGTAAGGCGCTTATCAGACCAATCCAGATAGTCAGTATTAGTAATAGCTAAAATGAAAAATAGGAGGGGAAAAAGGAGAAAACTCGTGTAGAGATCACCAGCTTGTTCTCTTTCAGCTATGATAAAATCAGCAACTTAGTTATTCCACTGTACATTCACAATGAGGCCAAAATGACATGAAATTTTTAAAAAATTACCTAGGGAAATAATGTGTGTGATTAAATATAAAACCCGAAAATCTGGCTTATTTCATTGTAGATAAAGTATTGGACATCAATTGTTCCTATTCTTATTTTCTAATCTATTCCATTGTAGATAATATGCCTGAAATCAAGTTCAATATCCAGTACACTAACAATGGTCAACTTGAAGGCGGAACAGGTGATAATTTGGAGTGCTTGATAAAACCAACAGGAACTCCTAAACAATCTATCACAAAAAGAGTTGTCAAAACAGAAAATAAAGCTACACAGACTGGCGACGTTGCTACTTGTGATCAGGAAGGTAAGATATCATTTTGCTTGAATTATAATTTCTTAATCGGACCGCTCTCCCTTCTTGTAAGATTGTTGGTCATATCCACAGTATCACAGACGATTAATGCTTGGGTTTCTGGAAACTATGTTGAATCCAATTCGCCTTCTGACTGTGACCACTTCACCTTCTCGCTGCGACCAATTCACCTTCTGACTGTGACCAATTTAACTTGTGACTGTGACCAATTTAACTTGTGACTGTGACCAATTTAACTTGTCACTGTGGCCAATTTAACTTGTCACTGTGGCCAATTTAACTTGTCACTGTGACCAATTTAACTTGTCACTGTGACCAATTTAACCTGTGACTATGACCAATTTAACTTGTGACTGTGACCAATTCACCTTGTCACTGTGACAAGTTCACCCTGCCACCAAATTTCTGTGTCTTTAAATCTACCGCCAGCCTTATTTCATTAATTTATTGTTTCAGTTCAGACAGTTAAACCGAAAAGAAGAGTTGTAAAATCTATTAGGCGATTCTTCCGACGATCATTCAAGTGCTTCAAAACAGAAGAGTAATTAATACAATTCAAACATCAAACATCTGTTGAATGGACGTTCACTCGTCAACTAAGTCAACTAAGACATTCGCCTGCAAGAATGGGATAAAATATGGACATGGATGTGTGCTTGGGGGGAAATGGATGATGTGATATTGAAAGCAATAGTATGAGATGTTGCTTGTGAGATGCGTGTGAGTGAGACTGTGTGAGGGTGTGTGGGCGTGTATTTTGCGGGGGGGGAGGGTGTGTTGGGGAAATTGGGGATTGGTGATAGGGGGTGAATTTGGATGTGTTTTGTGTTAGTATTATTAACACAGTATTTGTTAAGTTTACAGTTGCTATTGCTATGAATGTGTGAAAGACAGAGATAGGTGATATTGAAACGTTTAAGTTGAAAGCCATCGTATGAAACGTTGAGTGTGTGTGTGTGTGTGTGGGGGGTGAGGGGGCTTGGGTATAAATGAGTGTACGTATGATAATATTGATGATTACTGTGAAACATTTGTGCAATATGCAATAAGTAATTTCTGGACACGAATTTTTGGTATAGGCTAAATCTTTGTCATTCACATGTCAAATTATTATTATAATACACATTTACTGTTTTGGTAATGAATTTACAATTGTTATACGTATATGATATTTTATTAAAGATTTTTATAATTGGATATTTTTTTGTCTTTCGCCTAATGTTTAAGCAGGCTATGATTCAATTTCATATAGGCCTAGGCTATGAATTTGATAAGACCAGTCCGCCAGAGACAACTTAATTTGGCTTCTAGATATCATACTAATGTAGTTGCCTGAACACGCAATATTTTAATGACAAAATGTGATTTTAAGTAGATTTTTGCAGGAGTAAATGTTTAGGAGGCTCTCATTAAGTTCATAACTCAAGAGAATAACTGTCAGGTAATTAAATGTAATGACAAACTCTGTGAGATATGTAAATATCTGGTTGAAGGGTCATTTTTTAAATTCTCAACGGGCCAAATATTTTGTGTTAAATCTAATAAGACATGTTCTAGCAAGTTTGTTATATATCCTGCTGTGGATGCAAAGTCGTATCATAGCTGTACAAATCATTCGCAGTAAAAAACATAAGATAAAAAAATATCACAGAAAAACACCGTAAGTTGTGATAACAAACAATAACAAAACAAAAAAAATATCACAGAAAAACACCGTAAGTTGTGATAACAAACAATAACAAAACAAAAAAAATATCACAGAAAAACACCGTAAGTTGTGATAAACAATAACAAAACAAAAAAAATATCACAGAAAAACACCGTAAGTTGTGATAACAAACAATAACAAAACAAAAAAAATATCACAGAAAAACACCGTAAGTTGTGATAACAAACAATAACAACAAAAAAATTCAAAGAAAAACACCGTAAGTTGTGATAACAAACAATAACAAAACAAAAAAAATATCACAGAAAAACACCGTAAGTTGTGATAACAAACAATAACAAAACAAAAAAATATCACAGAAAAACACCGTAAGTTGTGATAACAAACAATAACAAAACAAAAAAAATATCACAGAAAAACACCGTAAGTTGTGATAACAAACAATAACAAAACAAAAAAAATATCACAGAAAAACACCGTAAGTTGTGATAACAAACAATAACAAAAAAGTAATTATGACAATCTTAAAAGGATATTAAAACACAAAAATATTTTGTCATATTACTCCTGTTTTTTATAACCCCATTGAATGTGATAATTCTTATTCTGAGCACAATACAAAGCCTGTTATCATCAGTTTTCTTAGCTTTCCCCAAGCCATAGAGAAGATACACGTTATATATGGCATGCTCTGATCTTTAGG